TCAGCTGCATAAACCTTATAGGTAAGGCTTGGGAGGGAGTGATTTACAGGACTTTGAACTCTGCTTGGAGAAAACTGTGGCCACAATGTGTACAAGAGAGGGAGTTTCAAGGATTTGGGGCTAACCCTCAGGAGACTATGCCAGTTGTGGAATCAACTGTGGCATTGGGGAAGTCCATAGGGTTGGAGGTTAGTGGCGAGGATGTGGAAGCGTTAGTGGAGGACGACGATGAAGTGCTAACCACTACAAAGCTGCAAGAGCTTCAGGTGCAACAGCAACAGATCACAGCTCAGGAATTTGCTTCAGAGGTGGAGGAAGAGAGACGTAGGAAGTTGCCTTCGTCAAAGGTTAAGGAAATGTGTACAAAGTGGACAAAGTTGCAAGCATTTATGGATGAATATTATCCTGAAACAGCTGTTGCAAACTGTATTGGCAACATGTACAATGACACTCGTGTCCCATTTTAGGGAAGTCTTAAAGAGACGCGAGAAACAGAGCTCTCTGTACAGATATTTTGTGCGACAGGGGTCCAGTGACTCTCAAGCTGGTCATAGTGGCATTAAAAAACAGAGAAGGGAGGTAAGTACCTGAAGGGAGAGAGGTACCTGAAGTCTTTATGGAAGGGGATTCCCCTTCCAAACAATAGAACACCTTCATCCTCTCCCCTCCTCCCATCTCATCACTCATCAACAAGTCCACAATAAAGGTAAGTGTCATTTCAGGATTGTTTATTGTGCATGTATCATTGTTTTCTGTGTAGGGAAATGTATATTTCACATAGAAAAAAATTTTTTGTTTAATAATTTTGGGTGTCTGGAATGGATTAATTGGATTTCCATTATTTCTTATGGGGAAATTAATTCGGCTAAAAGCTAAATCAGTTAAAGGCTAGTCTCTGGAACGGATTAATGGCGTTACCCGAGGGTCCACTGTAATAGGATTGCTCCCGTTACCTTTCATGATATCGTCTAGATGGCTAACAATATCGCCCACCCCAGCCCCAGGAAAACATACCCTCTGCCTCCTCTTCCTGTCCCTAAGATAAAAAGCCCTATCCAAAAACTTAACCTGAATGTCCCCAACTAAAACAATGTTTTTACCTTCACTGGCAGAGTTCGTCGTGACGTTCTCGATGGTCTTTTTGGGGTTTCAAGGGATGTCAACTCTTGTCCGCCAATGTTTCTTTGGTGCTTGTTGTGATGTTCCCAGTAGACAATTCACATTCATCGGGTAGCACTGAAAATGGGTTGGAAGTTTCCATAGTAGTCTTCTGGTTCTTCGTTGTTCCTGCCACTCCAACAGTCTTCTTGATCTTCAGCTTTGTTCCATGTTGTCCGGCCACTGACCAGGTTCCCCTCTTGACCTGAGGACTCACAACAGGAGGATTACTACGAATCCTCGTTTTCCTCCGTCAATTGCTGTATCTTGAGCTTAGCAACCCTAAGCTCCTCTTTCAGCTGCAGGTAGAGTTGCTCAAGAGAGGACATCTTGGTTCAGATTCACAGACAAGTCTTCACAGAGCTAGATACAGGTCACCATAGCTAAGTACAGGTCACCACAGCTAAGTACAGGTCACCACTGACGTGTACCCTAACCCTCTCCCATACTCCCATCTTCGATACACCAACAGGAGTCTTCAGTAAAGGTAAGTTTGATATTTTGTTTTATACTCAATTTCTCATTCTTTTCTGTATGTAAATCTATATTTAATCTTTAAAAAAATAATTTTTGTTAATACTTTTGGGTGTCTGGAACAGAATAATTGGATTTAAATTATTTCTTATGGAAAAATGAATTCGGAATTAGTCAGATTCGGGTTTAGTCACTCTCTCTGGAACATATTAATTATGATAACCGGGGGTCCAATGTTATATATATATATATATATATATATATATATATATATATATATATATATATATATATATATATATATATATATATATATATAATAATATATATATATACTATCATATATATATATATTATATATTATATATATATATATATATAATATAATATACTATATATCAATATATATATTTATCATACTTATATTAATATATATTACATATATCATTATATATAATAAATATATATTTAAGAAATATATAATGTATATATATATATATATATATATACACTATATTGTTTGAATTCCGTAACATTATGCAATGATTAGTGCTTATCACACTTGTATTGATATTGTTTCACATGTTCATGTCAGACTACATAAATGTGCTTAAAAATAAATGTTTCTTACAGTAATTATTCAAGCTTATGGAAAAATATTAAATTTGCACATTCACCAATACCATGGTATTACGTGTGACACTTGCTATTAAAATTTCACATATGATAAGTGGAAATATAAACACATAAGCAATATAATGTGATCTTTATTAACAGTATGTTATTGCCTCAAGGGGATTTATCAAGTGCAAACGCAGACTACATGGTTAAAAGTAGTGTGTATTATGGATTGTCGGTAGAGAATGCTGCATGTGACAATCTTCCGAGTAGGGTGACAGAGTCTAAAACCTTGGGCAGCATTAAAAAGAAATTGGATAAATATATGAGTAGACCTTCTGCAGTGTTCCTCCATTCTTATGTTCCTAGGTGGGATAGTGATGAAGAAGCTTCTTGGCAAGGGGTTCAGGTATGTTATGGAAGCTGTTGTTCTGGTTAAGTTATTGGATATACAGATAAGTGATGATTCCAGGATTCTTCTGTATTGAGTGTTGTCTTCTCTGGCGATGAGTCTTGTGTTTCTGTAGTTGATTAAATGGTTGTGTGAATTTTGGTGTTGAACACAGGCATTCCTTGGATCGTCAGATCTGCCTGTGTACTGGTGTTCTGAAATACGTGTTTTTAGGTCTCTGGATGTTTCATCAATGTATAATTTGCTGCAATCATTACAAGGGATTGTGTATACCCCTGCAATGTGTTTGGCGAGATCTTCTCCATTTCTACTCTCACCACAACACCAAAACTAAACATGGTGTAATTATAGAATTTTTCCTGCATGCACTCAGAATCTGCAGCAGTGAGTTCCTTGAGGAAGAATGCTCCCTTACTGAACAAGTATTTTCTAAACTTCACTATCCTTGTCACTTCCGTAGAGACTGCAGAGACGGGCATTAAACATCTTTAACACACCCAGAGAAGACATTGCCGAGAAGAGATACATAGTCCTCCCCACCAACTCCTCATTCCAAGTATCCACCTCCACATCCACCAGCAAGGACATTACCAGTAATAGACAGGACAAGCTTCAGTCCTCTGCAGGGGTATACACAATCCCTTGCAACGACTGCAGCAAATTATACGTCGGCGAAACATCCAGAGACCTCCAAACATGTATTTCAGAACACCAGTACACAGGCAGATCTGACGATCCAAGGAATGCCTGTGTTCAACACTAAAATTCACACAACCATTTAATCAACTACAGAAATGCAGGACTCATCACCAGAGAAGACAACACTCAATACCAAAGAATCCTGGAATCATCACTTATCTGTATATCCAACAACTTCAACCAAAACAACGGCTTCTATAACATAGCTGAACCCCTTGCCAAGAAATTTCTTTATCGCTATCCCACATAAGAACATAAGAATGGAGGAACACTGCAGAAGGTCTACTCATATATTTATCCAATCTCTCTTTAATGCTACCCAAGGTTCTAGACTCTATCACCCTACTCGGAAGAGTATCACATGCAGCATTCTCCACCTGACTAAATCCTATAAATACACACATACCTTTTACCCAAGTAGATCTGTTTATGACTTGATAAAGCCCACTGCATGGGCGAAACGTTGTCAATAAAGGATCACATTATACTGCTTATGTGTTTATATTTCCACTGT